CCAATGGTCTTCTAACTTAAACATGGATGCTATTTAAGAGAAAGACATCGGCAAAAGTGTGAAAATTCATCCTTCAAACTAGGGCAGTCACTAGTGTCAAGAACCTCAGCATGGACATTAACTGAATGGGAAGAAGCTAGATGATAAAGAGTATTGGAGTACCTGCACCCAAATCAGTATTATATGTACCCTGGTTACTACAACATGTTTAAAATTCATCTAGGGGCCATATATGTTGTGTTATATCATTTACAATAATCATATGGGGATGGGGAGTTGAAATTTGAATAAACCCAACCTTCTGCTCGCCTGATGGGATTGCCAAAGTGTAACGACAACCACGTGGTTGAATTTCACCAGCAAACTGTACTTCATTGTTCCTAACAGATAAAAATCAATAACTTTTGAGAAAGATCAAAGGAACCAATAATAGTCAATGCACGAGAGGAGGGCATAGACTAAAGGGTTTACCTCTCACCACAGTGTGGACATTCAAAAGCTGATAACAAAATCTGCAGGAAAGGTAAATGTGGGGAGTTATATTTAAGAAAACAAATGGACAGACAAAACAAAAGAAAACAGCAGATAAAAATAACAGTATGCAATATGATTCGTTATCTAATTTGTGAATAAAAAATGCTAATTCATTTAATTGAAATATGTAACAGAAAACATCAGGAAAAAAAAAGTGAATGAGGCCTAAGCATAAAGATAACAGAAATAAAGGTGAAATTTAACTTCATATATGATATATCCCAATACCTACCAATGAAGGATCAAAAACAGTAACCACTTGCCAATCACAAGAGTAAATGGAGCAATAGACAAGACATACCTTTCTGAAGTGAGGAATTAAAGTCAATAAAAATCTTGTAATCCCCTGACAAACATGACAGAGATTCAGGTCAGGTGATAAAATTTAAAAATTTTGGATGAAGATACAATATTAAAGCTTAGGGTGTACTTGAATCATTTCTTCACTAATAAATAATTGTTTCATTGATTTTTAACGTGGCCATGGATAGAACAACACAAAAGATGAAACACACAAAGTGTCATTACTCAATTACTCGGGTAACAATGTCGCTTGTAAATAAATGAAGTGCTAACTATTCTACTACTCCTAGTCCGTAATTAAGAGCTTAACTAAGTTCCCATTACATGAAACTTCAAGGAATAAGTTTGATTACTAAAATAAACTAGAAAATGACTTATATTGATAATTTTCTGCCAAAAGCTTATGCTAACCAAATAGTACTATTACAAGTAACTTTTTCAAACTTGAGCAAAATGAAAACTAAACTACCTCGGTTCAAGAAGTTGTAAGTTCAAAGCGGTGTTCACTACCACCCCACAAACCCCAAACTAAACGCATTGATCGATAAATTAAACACACCACCGACTCAAATTAAACGCATCGAAGCAAGAGGAGAAAAAAATGGTGCATGGTTTAGAACGTGAGAAGGTTCACCAACAAGAGCAAAAAGAATAGTGTACTGAATACAAATTAAAAGCATTGACGCAGAGGAAGAAAAAAACAAGCTGCATTATTTAAACTTCGTCAACGTTCACCGAGTAATTACGAGGGAAGAGAAAAAAAAAAGAGTAAACATGATCGGGCATTGTACATATTATATTAAAAGCAATGACGCGAAGAAGAAGAAGAAGAAACAAATGAGCAGGGCATGTACTTCTAAAGCTCACCTTGTAATTACGAGGGACGCCAAAAGAAGGAGTTAAAGTAATCGAATATTGAATACAAATTAAACGCATTGACGCAGGGGAAGAAGATAACGAAACGCTAACATCGCAAAGTTCAGAGTAAAGAAATAAATGTAAAAGAATGGAGAATTGAATCTGTGAGTCAATCACGCCGGAGGTGCGCGAAAAAGTAGAAACGAACATGGTGAATTCATTGAAAAGCCATAGGAAAAGCAAGTGGTGACGGAAAATGGGAGAAGCTTACGTTTTCACCACATCGCATGCAAAGACTTTCGAGGCTGTAGAGAGGAGCATCACCGTCATCAGCTGAAACAGCTTCGACAACCGCCCCTACATCCACGATTTGCTCGCTTTTCGCATTCCCTTCCATTACTCAATTCCACGATTACCTTCGCGTTATTGTGAAAAACTTCTGTTTCAACCGGTGACGAAAGTACCTGAACCGCTGGAAAAGAAGGAGAATTCTGAGTTTTATTAGCCTGTTTTGTGTTGGGGAAGACGCTGGAAGGAACTAGGGTACACGTCATCGGGTTAAGTTATTTGGGTCGGGGCATTGTATTGGCCCATTACTTGTTGGATTCAATTTTTGAATTTACGCGGTTTTCACAATTTAACTGTTCGATGAGTTCCCGCTCAACCATTTGAAGTGAAAATTGGGGATGATTATTCAATGTACTATGTTTAATATCAAATAACGTTTTTAGGATCATGTTTAATGTTTATTTAGAAAGCTAACAGTTATGCTCTCGCACCAGTTTTTAATTCAGTGGTTGAAAAATCTTAATTTTACTAATTCATACTCTACATATATTACATTAATTTTTAATTCTATCTTTTAAATTAAATTTTTTTTAAAAATATTTATTTGATTTTTTTCTAAACTTAACTATTTTTTAATTAAAAGATTTTCAACAAAATAAAAAAAATATTTATAACATAGATAAATAACTATTTAGTTTAGCAAAGATGAAAGTCACACAATCTACCATTAAAATTTTTAAACCCTAATATGTTCCACTCTATTAACAACCAAATTCCTCATTTTTCAAGTCTCTTGTAATATACATGAACTGTGGAATAAATACTTGACTTACTGACATAATAAA